CGAAGTCATTCGGATGCATCCATGCTTCTCCCAGAGGTGCCTCAACACTTTTATCGTTGAAGATGACTCTAAAATAAAAATTTAAGAAAAGTCTCAGCAGAACAGAGCCGAACAGTAATCGTCCACGTCTCGGACCCCCAAAGGTAGTGGATGAGCGCAACAGTCAAACCCAACAGATCCCTTTAAGGTGACCACTGAACTACCAAGGTAGTAGAGTGGACAATGAACCAGTAATGAGTGTGGTTCCGCTTCCACATTGTTAGCGCATCTACCGCAGAGCCCTGGAACATAAAAAGGTCCCATGATTGTAACTCCTGAAAAATCTTTTCCGAGCAATTAGGTGAGGTCGGTACAGCAGATATCAACGCTGCAGTGAGGAATTCAGCTAGCCGATGAACTGCTCACCTTCTTTTGGCTTACGCCCCCGTTCTCGATAAAACAGACTGACTGGTAATAGAAAATCAATATTAGGTTGAGTAAAAAGTTTTGATCGACTATTCGTTCCTTTCTAGATTTCATCGTAGGACCGCTCGGAAGGACTTCGTAATGGTTGATGGTAGACCGATCCCTAACCTGTATTTTTAGGGTGATATATAAGCATTCCCTTGTAAGTGCTTCGCAAAAATGAATTCAATCTTCAACTGTCGTCCGAAGCTGTCTGAGAACTATCGCATTTCACGAATTACTGTAAGGGCATGATCCACCGACGGCTGTCGCAAATATCTGTGGTGCATCCAGAAGAGTCATCGTATTTCAGCCCACGGGTGCCTCATGATGAATCACCTTAAAGACAAGCGGAGAAGTGGACTATGTCCGAAGAAGGTTTTACTGTCGTCGGTGAACATTCTCAAGAAAAGCTCTACTTTGGATAACTTACTGAGGGTACCACCGTGACCACCGAGATTGACGCTTCTCAGCTACAGAGTTTGGCCGACGTTGTTCGAAGGAAGCGTCCGCAGCGTGAAAATGTTTGCCTTTTTCACGACAGCGCTCAACCGCGTGTTGCGAAATTGTTTTGTCAGTAAAGTGCCGAACTTGGAAAGCACTCACCTGACTGCTCCTCTCCCTATTGAGGCTTTACAGGAACCATCGCTCTCGAGAGCTACTTTCCTTAGCTGGAAGTGTTTATCTCTCCTCTCCACCCTACCGTTACGTTAGGGACGAGAAAGATGAGGGGTCTCTCCCCTAGCTGCATTTATACCTCATCCTCTGGCATGGCTTCTCGGCTCACAATGAATCCTACTTACTATAAAGCGCTTCGTCTGTCGTGTGTCGTCTGTCGTTCTGTCTGTCCGTCTGTCTGTCACATGTCTGTCACGAAATTCCTTAGCTCCTTTAGATCTGCCTGGAGAGACCGGGCCAAGCGTGGCATTGGTGGGCCATGTCCCTAGAAGTATAAAGCACACATCAGCTTGGCGGAACCCTGTCCACAGTGGATGTGGCGTGCATTGAAATGAGCTGCACTGAGGACCATGATTTCAAATTCAGTCACAAGGCGGCTTCAAAATGGGGTGTAAAGGTGGCTAGAGGTGTGCATTGGTAAGTTAGATCCAACTGGGGAGACTCACCCCCACTGGCGGGGCGTTCTCTTAAATGCAACGCTTTATAAAAACATTTATAACTCGGTTTGGAGAAAGCCAACAGCAGGAAAAGGTTGATGTAGGAGAAGCATTGTCGAAGGCGTCTCCAGCATAAATGACGTCAGCGGAGGCCCGCCCACAATGAGCGGAGCGTGCCTTGAAGCTCACATCGTTTCTTAAATTTATATACGAAAATTCAAAACTCGGGTTCCCGTGCGCCTAGAAAGTTCAAAGTTGGAAGGAGTATAGGCGGTGTGATCTGAACACTTATGGTGAGTGGCACGACCAGACTCCGCCCACAAGGGGCGGGGTTCAAGCGCAAACTCTTGGATCCTGTTCCAGTGGAACTAGAGCGTTCAAGTTTTGTAGGAGCACAGGTGACAGGATGGGAACACTTATGGTGGGTGGCAGGACCAGATTCCGCTCAGAGGGGCGGGGATCGAGCGGAAACTCATAAATCCGATAAAGGCCTATAACAGAAATCAGCTAATGTGGCTCCGTCTCTCATGGCTAGAACCCCTAGCGCACGCGATAGCGTGCGTGGCCGCCTGGTGCTTTCATAATTCAACAACGCGCGTTGTTTCAACCAACGACCCACCGACCGACTGCGTTGCTGACCGAGCATTGGCAACGCTGGACCCGGTCGATACCGTTCAAGCAGCCCTGAACGCAATCTGTCCTGCGCTGTCAACGCAGGAGCTGCAACGCGATCGGTCGGTTTTCGGTCGAAACAACGCACGTCGATGAACTCTGAAGCATTCAGTCGTTCGGGTCTCGTTCTGAAAAGTGTCCTTGAAGGTAACGGTGTTTCTAATGTGACACTTACATATACCACCCTTTCGCGCTGATGGCGAGTACGAAACTTGTCTGACTACGCTGTGAAGCTTGACCCTAATCTGACCCGATCTGGCTATAAATCTACAGACCCTTTGCCTTGGGTAATGGAGATTATCTCTAAGATGTGTCGCGTGATGAGACAATTAGCTAGGAAGACCACTGAATGCTGGTTGATGACGTGGGAGGCGTAGCAACGAAACCAGCCACTGTTAATGTTCTACTCACCATCAGTGCTCGAATAAGTAACAGGGAAATCATACGTAAATGCCCAACCGTTTTCATCTTTTCTCGGGAGGTTCGTATATGAACGAAGGAAGCGAATAGGAAATTTCTACAGAACGAGACTTTCATCAGTTCGAGCTGGGACAACAATGTTCGGAAAGACGATGTTTTTCCGAAATAACCATGACGAGACAGCCGACGGTTTGAAAGTTAATGGTTGAGCACATGAGCCTCAGACATCCAATCTTTTTGGTGACGAATTTGGTATGACAAACCACCAAGACCATATTCGACCAAATTTCGGGAGTACAGTAAAATAGAAGCAGAAAATAAGTTCTGTGGAGTGACACCCATTGAAGAACTAAATCGAAAATATGGCCTTCAGAGGAATGGTTTAATCAAAAAATCATTCAATTCCACTATAAAGCGGTTTCATAAGCAAGCTGTGATCGCTGCTGTTGCAGACTGGATGACAATAAAATACAATGCAGAAAGAAAGGAAATTCAATATTCCATGAATTTATGTAAAATAAAAAAACAAACGCATAATAAATAAGAAGCACTTATATGAACGAACAGCACTTTTACGTCATTTCTACCGAAGACATGTGACATTCTTGATTTGGAGGCAAGGACCATGCATCTTTCAGAGGACTCAAAGCCGAGCTTTGATTTCTTGGTCGCCTTCCTCCACTGCTGAAATGTCGACATCGCTCCTGTTACGTTTTCCCATGTATAATTTTTGCAATTACTGGTGTCCGGAGTTATACGTTTATGAAGATAGTAGAGTAAAGATATTTTAGCAGTCATAGGTGCCATCTCCTTAATCTGGGGATCACCCTTATCAGATCTCAACTACTCTGAACCCCATGTATAAGAGCGGTTTGATTTTTCCATCTCCACCTCGCCTTCATCATTTATATTCATACGGGAATACTCGTTCTTAAGCCGAGGACCAAACTGTTAGGGTTCGTAGTCGAGGGCCACGGTCCCATGCCCGAGGGCCTGGTCTGCCGACTTATAATCCAGATCTGCCGGATTTGGATCTTGGTCTCCCTGCCCCGGACCTTATGTCATAGCTTATCGGCTTGGGAACATGTTTTTCTCTATGATTGAAATGATATAGACGATTTAAAAATTGAAAAATTGAAAAATTAAACCGCTTTTATCTGTGACCCGTCTTATCGATGGAATTTCATAGTAGTGATTCTTCACCTGATTCGCATAGTCCGTGTTTGTCGCTCGGAACCGGCGCAACATCTGAAAAGCGATTAGTATTTCACAAATTAATTATGCGTCTTACTTGAACAAGAACTCTTGGTGGTGATGTCCGCTGCTTCAAGAAATTATACCGGTAACTGCTCACAAAGTGGGCTGAGCTGATCGCGGGCATTTGAATGCAGACGATAGGCCCCCGTGACAGGCTGGCCTACGAACTGGCTATGCGAATCAGGTGAAGAACACGAACACCCGCGTCACATCATGAATGTTAATGTCACCTCATGTATCTCGGTTAAATGCAACGGCGTCCGCGGAAGCCGACACGCACTCGCAAGGCACAGTGAGTGTGAAAAGTATGCGAGGGTCTCCGGTGCAAGGACGGCATTGAAGGGCAATTAGGCTAGTCCAAAACTTACGCATTGTACAGAAGACTCGCATTGCGACGCTAAATGCTGGCACGTTAACGGGACGCTGGTACGAATTAGCAGAAGCCCTAGAGCTTCGACGAATCGATTTCTAAGCCATGCAGGAAACGTCGTCCTGCTGCAAGTCCAGTGACATTGGCCACTGCTTCAGAGCAGTTCTTTGTGGTGGCCCCGAAACCACCAACGGCGTTGAGAAATAGTCTCTGATTCGATAGTAAACGTTGAACGCTTCGATGACCGCCTAATGAAGATCACTGCAGTCATCGAACGCCAAAAATGCCATCTCTTCTCAGCGTATGGTCCGCAGACTGGATGCTGGACGAGCAAACCAAGGACAAGTCCTGGAACCTGCTCGATAAAAAGACAGCTGAAATACCGTTAAAAGAAGCTATAGTTGTCGCGAGTGACCTCAACGATCACGTGGGCGCTACGAAAGACGGTTTCAGCTCTCATGCTGGTTTTGTGGGTCACGTAACACTGGTGGCAAGCGAATCTTCGAATATCTCGCCAGACTCGCACAATCATAATTGTAAACACGAAATATCGAAAACGTGACTCTCATCTCATCACCTTCTATAGCGGTGAGAACAGAACACCAATTCATGCATGGTCAGACACCGCGATCAGGGGCTCGTAATAAACGCGAAGATAGTACCCTATGGGACGGTCGCGACACAACACCATCCACTACGGTAAAGATCGCCCCGCCGAAACCGAAACTAGCTGAAAGGTGTGGGCCAGCGAGAATCAAGTGGTGGCGACTGAAGGAATTAAGCGTCTGTCGTTTGCCGCACCTATTACTAGAGGTAAGGACAATCGATGAAGCTTGGAAGGGAGCTGTCGAAAAGATAACCCCGGTTACGCACTGCGTAACCGGCATGACCAAGTCTGGACGGCGAAAGGTTGACAAGCATGCTGGCTGTGGATGGACCGTCTCTCCATATATAAAGCTGTAACTTCGTGTGTCTGTTTGTGGGCCGGTTTTTGCGTCCTCCCGAATATCACGTAGGCACGATGATGAGGATGAATGTTACGCGAGCGCGGTGAGGAAGCAGTAGTGAAATGGAAAGTCAATCAATACTGCTTATATTAGCCCTCTAACAAGTGGTAGTGGGCAAGGCATGGTGCACGCGTTAGCGGGTATAGCCCGTCTGGTTACAGGGGTAAAGTCCATGAGAAGAAAAAGCAATACCACGCATTTCTTCTCAAAAAGGCAGCTGACACATAGCAGCGCTACCAGATAACGAAGAAATAGGCAAAGAAGACCGTTGCTTCTGCGGAGGCAGCTCATTATGCCGATCATAACGAGAGCTCGAGTGTCGCGATGGTGAGCGGTACGATTACTGACTCGCAAAAACATGCAATCGCCAGACCGAGTGTATAGAAAAGTCCATTGGCATAAATCACGCAAGCGGTCAACTCTTGACAGATTGCAGGCAAACGTGGAACGATGACGAGATTACTTAGAAAACATCTCAACATTCGAAATTGCTCATTCCGTCATCCTTGCTCTATGCCAGCTTACGGTCCCGGACCATTATATCTATGAAGAGGATGAAATCAGGCAAAGCAACTGGTCCTGACGACTTGGCGGCGGACTTGTGGAAATCAAGGAGCTGGAGTCCTGCAGGTGACGGTGACGAGACGTTATACGGTATGCCTTACGACAGCACGGCGTTCTCGAAGAGCTTATCGAGTGGGTATGCATCCTTTACTCTAGTCCAAAGAACCGAGTACAGAGGGCAGCGAGCTTATCGGAGGGTTTTTCAATTTACGTTGTATTACACCAAGACTCTGCGTCATACCCACTACCATTTCTTATCGTCACGGATACCCTTACAAGAGATCTCCAGAAATCGGCTCCGTAGACGCCTATTTATGCCAATGACGTGATGCTCACCAGGGAAGACAAAAGCGAACTCCAGCAAGAGGTGGAAACCTGATCCGACCACTGATCCGAGCGAGCCAGGCTCTATCAACGTACTCACACGGGCAACAACATTCAAGTATCTTGGGTCGGCAATTGCGTCTGACGGCAGCCTGGTTTGAGACAATCCTCGCGTGAATGCAGCATGGTTGAAGTAGCGCTCGACGATAGACATACTTCGCGATAAGAACATGTCTGAGCGTCTCTAATTTAAGATCTATAGAACTGTCACCAGGACGGTCCCAATTTAAGTGCTGGCCTGCGACCAAAGAAGTTGAAGCCCGTGTCAGTGTGATGGAGACCAGATGATGCTAAGATGCTGCGCTGGATAGCCGGAGTAACACGACTAGAGTTCATAAGTAATGACGTCATCAGGGAGCGATTCGGTGTAGCGCCCATTGTCAGTAAAATGCTCGAAGTTCGTCTCCAATGGTATGGTCACGTTCTTCGCGCGAACGATGACAGTGTCCGTAAGATCGGTATCAACCTTGACATGACCGGGAAGCGGCTTGGAAGACGCCCAAAGCAGCGATGGCTCGATACGTTGCACGAAGACCTGAAGATGAAGAGCCACATCGATCAGGCGTTTAATCGGGAGGAGTGACGTCAACATATCAAAAGAAGCGGACCCCGCCTACAAGAGGAACAGACGCTGGTGATTAAAAGGAAGAGGTTGAATAAGGACTCTTCCTCACGACTTAATGTCACGTTAATTACTAGCGAAGAAAATCCAATCGGAGAACGGGCCTGGTTCTGATATAGTTCTGATCGAATTCAAATTGGTCACTCAGAATTAGCAGTAAGCAATGAATCAACCTACCATAGCTGTCGCTCCGAGCACTGGCGAGTCGAGGTCCACAATTCATGTGTTTCTGCTGCTTAGTCGGACCTAAATTGGATTCGTTTCACACCATTCGAGAACACTGCCACGCTGGACATATTAAAAATACGGCGGTGGCAGAAGCAAGTAAAGTAGGCGACTACGGTTCGACAGTGCGCCATTTGAGAAGGTTCCGGGACTTTTCAATCCCGTCTTCAATTCGTAGCGTCCCACGTTCCATAAATTGATTATAACACTCCTCAGAGCTTTGAGGTAGTCACTGATCGAAGCTCCGAGGTAAATAGGATAAAGATTAATGCGGATCTCTCAGCTAGAAGTTTAAGAAAAATCGGCTCAGAATTTTTGCTCCACAATAACCTGCTCTTACCTTGCCGTATTACTCCGCTGTCAGAAAGCTGTGCCACTGGTGCAGCTAAGTGGTAATCGTCATAATGCTTCTGTGCTCTATTTCGATAAACTGAACCATCCACCCAATAAGGTTGCAACTAAAAAACGTAGCATCACCTTTGACACTGATATTTTACAGGGAAAGCATTCACCAAGAACACCGTGTCGTACAAAAGAGACTCGTAAAACAGAATACTGTTCTGTGTAAGAAATCATATAGATTTGGTTTCGGTCTTGCAGATGGAAAACTGATTCAGTAATAAGGCCCTCAGTCCATTATTGAGACGCTATTCCTAAGAAATAGAGGAAAAAGGAAAAAAGAAAACAGAGAAAGAAGAAAAAAGAACAACAACGCCATTATTAGCAGAAGCGGGGGGCTGAAAATGCTCAGACACTCATAAATATCCTTTCTCATCTAATTTTTCTGAGAATCCAGTAGTATTTCTCACTAAATAGAACAATCATCACCGCCCAAAGAAGCATAACAAGGAATTGTCAAGTGGGAATAGACATAGCCTATGGAGGCGACCCCACCAGTTGCGTGAATATGTCGTGTCGCCTTGGGAACGCGTGATAGCACGGAAGGGTGATTATGTTGCAGAAAATACTAAACGGTCAGACGAAAAGATGCAAAATAAAAGTAAATAAACTGTTGGGTAAAAACGGAATTTATCTGCTCTTGAAATCAATTATACTGGTGTCCTCCTAACAAATGGCCTACCATTACTCACAAATCACGGTAACAAATAGATGTCAGAAAGAGAACGGAAGAAAGAAAAAAAAAATCGAAAACCTGCTGAGATCGTCGTCCCGTCGAACTGGGGGCCAGGGAAGTGTTACTTGAATCTTTGTCATTAGCTTCAAATGCTCGTTGACAATAGAAGATCAGAACGGTGATAAAACAAAGTACCAATTGTGCTGTAATATTTCATAAAACTGAAATTCTACTGGCCAGGAAAGGATCCCAAGTCGAAGTGGCCATTTGAAGTGAGACCTGTGCTGCTTAATGTGTTTTTAGATGGTCTTTTCAAATTTGCCAAGCGATTCTCTGAACGGAGTTGTGAGAGTGGTTTCAGGTGAGTCTCAACATAAGAGAACTTGAATTACATGGATGAACCTCTCTCTTCAACGGTGACTGTAGTAGCGATAAGGGTGATGCTTCTGTGCGTTAGGCTGCCAGAGTTTTGGGGGGGGGGGGGGGACCGAATTTTTGCACTATATAGAATTCCTCAAGGACTAGAAAATACTCTCATGATGATTATATCACGTTCTTTGAACTGTGATGGTTTTGATGATATTTATCACCTGAAGCAATACCTCTTCGATTTTATTCGCATGCTCATACGCTCTATGTTCGTAGTAGTAACTTTTATCACTTTATGAGCAAATGTGATACTGTAGCCCGAAACGCTTGAAACAAAAAAGCTTCTCACAATGGGAGCAACGAATGAAAAAAAAAAACTCGTCATAGCCCATTGCTTCACAATCACTTACCAAATCCTCAGAATCACCCGTGTGACTGCTTAAGTAGCCGGCGGCATACCATGAGTAAAAGAGAAATTTACTAAATCTAATAGCACATAATTGAAATTAGACAAGCGATAGTAAGCGAAGATTGGAGTCTCGAGTGTACACTCAAAACTTGAGATACTTCTTTGATTTGTCCCCCCTTGTGATTTTGATACTTTGTCATGATAGTATCGTTCGTACTAATTTATTTTGAGATCATGAGCTATTACTTGTGAGGTGGTGCGTTCAATCATATTTTTGAAAGGCAAGAAGAAATGGACATCTGGCGGCTGTGTTAACCTCGTGGTGCGAGCAGGGATATTAATTACCTTTTGAGGATGTAAGACTTAAAAGGTTAGTAGCTTCATGATCTTTAACCGTTGTTCACGATCCACGCGTCCACTATCAATAGTGTCGGTGATGATAATTCCAGAGCTGCACGATCGCACCCACTCTAGCATCAACACCCACTTTAGCATCATCACATGCGTTTCACTGACCGGGACCTCCGGATTTCGCCCACCGAAGAATCCTCCATTGGCTGCTTTCATAGTCCGCCGGCACGCCGGCACGTCACCTGAAACCTCATAACTCCGTCCAGAGAATCGCTTGGCAAATTTGGAGAGCAGACTTCAAATCAGCATCCAAAAACACGTCTCGCAGTGAAAGTCTTATTTCAAATGGACACATCGACGTAGGATCCTTCCCTGATGAGAAATACGTATTTTCCAACATGTCTAACGGATCCTTAGACTTCGTTATCATGCTCGAGGGAGTTTAACTTATATTTTTTCATACAAACTTGTCAAACATTGCCCAGCAATATATTATGCAGGCGATTCCAACCCCCCCCCCCCCCCCCCCCCCCCCNCCCCCCCCCCCCCCCCCCCCGCTAGTTGGCTTCTTTTGAATTTTACTTGAACCAGCCCTTAAAAAACGCAAAACTTTTTCGAGCCCTTTCGAAGTAAAGGTGATGAAAAGTGTAGAAATGGTACGGCCAATGTCGAAAAAAGCGATTGGGCGAGCCTCTTTGATGAAAAGTTGTTCGAGTTTTCAAATTCGTTTCACAATTTAACTTAGAAATGCTCAACATTACCTATGGCAAATATGATGTCCCTTCGCCGATAAGCAACAAGTGGCAAACCAATATATAAAGCAACCACGAAAATTATCGAGAGCCCCTAAAAATGCTAAGTTTTCAGAGATGGGTTCAGTAAAGGCTTTTGCTTTTTAGCTAGAAGAGTTTTGAGGTGAAACATCTATCAACCCAGCAGCCGGAACTTCCTGAAAAGCTGCGTCTGGTCACTCTCACCGTCGAACCTTTTCGGAACACAACTTTACTGAAATGTTGGACTTTAAGGCCTCCACTCAGTAACCTGTCCTACCTAAATGTATCTATAAATTAATAGGAAACTTCTACTGTTAATAAAAGCAATCATAATACAAATAGAAACAAAACAAAACACACATCAAGAATATCATAAAGAGAGGCCATCATGGTCCGTGGTCACCAACTTATTTCGAATTGTACTCCACGGAGCACAGCGAAAAGGTGTAAGAGGGATAAGGGAGGAATTAAGGAGGATATGGGTAGAATTTTCTGAAAAATATGAGTGCTAAACGAAGCACCAGCACAAACCAAAAAATCACTTCACCAACCTTTTCGCAGGAAACATAAAAAAGCAGTCGAGATCTGAGCAAAATTGCCGATCTTAGGGGAGCTCGATCTAGCGCTTCTGCTTTGCGGGTCTTATTCGTGTCTACAGGGAGGGCCAAAATTACGATAACCACATGCTCAAGAACGAATAGTAAGCCAATAAAACGAACCAGTTTCAAAAAGTGTTCGTCACTAATCTTTCATTAAAATAGTACATTGTGGCCAAGATCTGTTGCCTTTTGCTTTCACTAAAGCCCGACGACGACGATCAATGGTGACAACGGTGGCACGCAGCCAGCACAAATGGGTTGCCCCAGCTTTTTGTGAAGCATTCTTAGCATTATTTAAATTCTTGTTTAGGCTAACACATGCTCCTCCATTTTCCCAAGAATAACCATACTAAGAGATCCATGGGATTCAGGTCAGGTCTCCTATGTGACCAATGATCGCGGGCTATGAAGTGGGCGACTCGTTTTACGAAATTTCTGGACAGTTACTGATCTGCGGTCAGAAGCTTCATCTTGACAATATGTTCGGTTTATTACCCATGGCGAGATCAAAAAGGTTTCCAAATCCACTTCCACTCCTCAATATATAAAAATAATCAGTGCCTTCGCTTCGGCGGTGATGCTCGTAAAGGCCGCCATTAAAAGTTCAGAACAGAAAGTTCGTGAGCCGAGCGCTGTATCAGTTCAATTTCATTCGGTTTCCTATAAATCCTGACGCTCAGCTTAGTGAGCACCTTTTTTACCATGATTATCTTTCCGTCGGAGGAAAGGCATTCCCTATAAAGATTTCTTTGGAAAAGAAGCCAACTCTCGTGAATCAACCTTTCTCTTCTCTTTAGCCTGCTGACTCGGTAAACCACTTCCTGACAGTATGAAGGCCTTGTTGCCCAGATTATTTTTCACCAATTTTGCGCTAAAAACTCCATGAGATATCCATCCCTTCAACCATTTTGTATGCAGAGGTGACTTCACTGATACGCAGAACTTCGCCCTGCTTCTTTAACATTTTTTCTAAATGTAACCGTATTCCTTCTATGTTCACCGCTCCGATTTGCAGTTGTTCCCAATTCTTCGAAGCGTCTAATGATCGGATATAGCAGCTGATCTGTTACAGTGAGTCCTCTGGAGATGTCCGTACCAAAAGTTCTCGTAAATGCAAAGCGCTGATTGCTTTACGAGGTAGGGACGCCTTCATTGTTTCTGAAATCTGCCAAACTCCCATATTAAGAAGGAAATAATGTGAACTAGCTTGTGAAATGCAAGAAGTCGGATGAAATATTACTAACTCTGAAAAAAGGTATGAGCGTCTGCGCGCGCGGTAATCATAATTTTGGCCCACCCTGTATTATATCACTACTTCGGAACCACAATATCAAATAAGAGCCTGTGGACAGAGGAGGGAATGGAGTTTCTATACGAAAATTCTGCAGGAGATTTCTTCATCGCCCATCTCTTACCTTTGTGGAAGTTATTCCGGGCAGGATCTTTTTTTTTTTTTNAAAAAAAAAAAAAGATCCTGCCCGGAATAACTTCCACAAAGGTAAGAGATGGGCGATGAATAGTCCTCCTGCAGAGTTTGGCGTTAGCCGGCCGATCCTCCTTTCCGTGTAAAGTTGGCCTGCTGCCCACACCCTCCCAAATTTGGGCGCTTCGGTGCAAAAGAACAGGAATTACAAATTTCCAGCCCTTTCTCTCTTCTTTAATTTCCAGTCGTGTCACCTGCCATCAGCGTTCCGTACTGTCGTCTGTACCCCTATCGAATCTGTGCGATCTAGGTCCAAATTGACTCCCCTTTAGGAATAGTCTAGTTTGAAACCTGCCATCAGTCCCATGTACGGCTTTCTATGAATCTAGGCATAATTGTATCACTGAGTTTATTGTTTTCTTGAACTCTATCGCGAGGTTTGAAAGTATGCTTCGTAGGCTGACGTTTCGGCGGAATTGCCTTCATCAGAGCCTGAAGGATCATAACAATCTGTGACTATCCGATCAAACGTCTCTACCAACCCATTAGAGCTCGAGACCCCCAGGGCACGCAGGTGATCGAAAGGAGAACCACTCGCCGTAGCTTTGTGGATTCTTCGAAACCACCCAGCGAGTGATGGTACCAACCGACCAGTGTCAGCTGGGGTACGTTCTCATTAAAGTCTCTGCGGGAAGGCCAGCCTTATACGTATAAGGCCGTAGCTCACGCGTGATAGCGAGACATTCTTCCCTACGATTTCCCTACGATTCATTTTGGGACAGAGGACCTGTATCCAAAATGCCTCGAGGGTTTTACGCGCGCACAATTGCGACTCCTGTGCTACGACCTCCACGGTGACCTCAAAAACGCCTCCGTTATGCTTTTGTATTCGGAGACTCTCAAAGGCAGTAGACTCCTTTAATCGCCTGATACCATCTATGTGCTCCTTAACCCTCACGTGGAGTGGTCTTGCCGTTTCTCCAATATACTCGTCACCACAATCACAGCAAGTAATTTTGTAGACCATCCCAGACATGTTACAATCACCCTCCCTTCCAGCTGGACAAACCACACAGTTTGAGGTTGTACATAGGCGATCGTATAGTCTGTTCCGAACCAGGCGCTTCTTTAGATTGAAGGGTGGTACGTTTACAATGGCAACTAAGTTATCCAAACCCGATCTTTCTAGACACTTCCTAATGGAGACACTGACCTCATCAGAAATAAATGAGAGTATTGGGTTGTAACATGAGTTCGTGGAGTTTTGCGTTCGAGTC